AAGCGTACGTGTCAGCTTAAAATTAAAAGGGAGCTAAAAATTTAATAAAATTTAATAATTTAATTTAACGTTTTTAATAAAACAATTATTCCACTCGCGCTTGTTGGATATGAGATGATTATAGCCAACTCGGCGCTACGCGCCTCGTTGGCTATCTATCTTCTCGTATCCAACGCGCGCTTGTGGAATAATTGTTAAAGATATACCGGCGACTAATCAATTTCAAGATAATATAAACAGTTTATAATCTCTTGTCAAGATCATATCGTTCTTGGAATCAGCCTGGAAAGCATAATTAATAAAGAACCCCCCAAAACGTCATTTATTTGGCGCTTTCTACCCAAAACATATAGAATCAAATAAAGAGTTTTAAAAATATCATTCACGGCAATCATTAGAGAAGTAAAAGCAGCATATTTCATGATGCTGCAAATACCGTTCTCAAAGTAATCTCCTCTTTTCCCACATGGATTGCAGTCAAAAGGAAACAAGGCAATTGATTTTAGGAGGCGAGGGATCTACAAACTTTTCATTCGTTTTTCAACATCCCATGTGCGTTGTTACGCCAATAAACCCAGAGAAAGAATTCAATGTTGATTTCAGAAATCCATCTTAAATCTAGTCCTCTGGTCTTCTACGTGTTTACTAGTATGCAAGAAGTTAGAATCCATGCATAAATTAATTAGCTGAGATTGCATTAGTATCTCTTTTTTTTCCCATTAAAAAGGCTTCATCATATTATTATTCGAAATTCTAGTAAGTTATTTCGATTTTGGAGACGGAAAAAAAAGCCGTTGTGCACTGAAAGGGTCGTATTTCTTTTTGCAGTGTTCGGCCTAAATCGTAGCAATATGTATTGCAGAGGCTTCAAAAATGCTTGCAGTTCTTTGATTCAGTCCTAACGGTTCTAATATTAACTTGAACAAATATTTTTTCGGCAGAAATTCGTGGAGAAACCTTCACACCTCCTGTTTTTTTGGATTGGTCCAGAAGAGAGAACGTCGACAGTTACCTGAGATGTGTAAAACCTGGACACGGATCGAATGACAGCAGTTATGGTTCAGAAAATGAATTTGGGGGATATACGTGGGAATCTTCAGAAGGTGAAGATGAATGTAAATTATCACTTACATTAGTTATATTTTAGTTTATTATGTAATACTGCAATTTATAAAAAAAATTAAGATACTTCGAACGCCCTGATTGGTCAAAAAAGCTAGCTTTTCATTGCGCTGAAAGTAGTTGTAAATCTCGAGCCGGAGGCAAAGTGATCTGCAAATTTTTCGAGTATTCTCTAAGCATCCCAAGTGCGTTATTACGCCGGTAAATCGATAGAAAGTGCGGTGTTATTCTTTGAATTTTAGTAATTATCTTGCCCTCATGCAACCAAGATGCTCATTTTAATTTTCAAATTTCTTCTCGGTTTATCCTCGGCTCAAAGTGGAATAGCCGAATGCCTTTCGTCTAATTAATTTATTCCCGAATACACCAAAGCATGCAGAAACACACACGATTCCTGATCTTCACAAAACGCTGAAGCCTTTTTTTTTGCTGACCAATTTAGCACCTCTCCGTGTCTGGATGCTTGTTGAAAAAACTCCGAAAGAACGGCGAACCTTCGCTCATAGATTATAAAGTTAGTAATGAAAGATACACGCAGAGACGGACAATACTCGAAGAAGGCTCAGAAAAGCCGGCATTTAAAGTGGCTTTTCATCTCTTATTTTTCTTTGGTTTTACAGGTTTCTGTTTTTAATCGCCCTCGTGTTGCGTGTCTTGGTGCGCCTGCGATCCCCCATGGTTTAGATAACGCGTGCGCCGTAACACCAACTCTGAGAGACCGAACTTCGGAATAATGTTTCTATCGTTGATCCCAATTAAAAGATGATAAAAAGGGCCTGTTTGACCACTTTCGACTTGACCGCTTAATATACTCACATGGTGCTTATTGCCGTGATATAAGAATACATCAGCTATTGAAGATGGGTTCTATAATGGAAAGCAACGATTCTGCAGAGTAACATGCAGTAGACAAGAAAATCACGATGTTAGATATACCCCTTTAAAGGCTTAGAAGTCCAGCAAAGAATCTCTGATATGATAGCACTTGACACGCTTGACGAAAATGTTAAAATGGACCGCTGATGAACACCGATCTGTTTGATCCTTCAGAAATGCCTCTTTTAAACATGTGGCAATCAGTGTCAGTGATGACTTTACATGCCGAACTTATGCTAAAATGTTGCTAATTGTTTTCCCATATAGACTGCACTACTAAAACACCTGTTCTCAAGCCAGTCCCATTGGAAGTTAACGAAACGGAACTGGGTAACAAAGAGGAGTTTCTGAGAGGGCTGATAGGGTTCAACATAGAAAAGCACGACTTTGAACTGCCGACATATTATTTTCAGGCTGAGGAAAGTCAAGGTAACCATTACAGTCAACGTTTTAGAAAATTTTGTCTCTTCAAAATCTTTCTGACCATATCAGGGGTGGGCCGAAGTTCTTCATACACCTCATTCGATGGTTTAGCATTTAATAAACGCATTGAAGAAAATGACCACTCATATTACAGTCGTATTAAGATTTATTTTTCGACTTTTATCTCATCTGCTAGTATTTTAGCGAAGATTCAGTTCTAAAAGCAAGCTACCTCGTTACCTTTGAATCATATCGACTGTATATAAGTCGCTCGCGAGTGGCGGAACCAACATCATATGAAACCATTTATTAACTTTCATGAAAACAAAAATATACATTTGGTTTGAAAGTTCGTCCCATAAAAAGTTTGGATGGTTTTTTTTTCGCAGTAATTTGTTGCTCCGGTTTCCGTCCGTATATTCGCCCAGTTCTACAATATAATCGCGGCGCAGATGTTGTGGCCTCCTTAGCCCTATTTCGTTAAAATAGAGGTGATTGTTAAACGATAATAAGACACTAGAGCAGACTTTTCCGGACCTGACTAAATTCAAGAACGTTTGACGTTTTCACGCCAGTATACAAACTCGTAATAAAATTGTTCCGGTTTGGCCATGACTGCGGAGATTTTAAAACCGGAACATTTATTAGTGAAAACGATTTTTCATGAATTTGAATATCACTCAGCATTCTTGTTTATGATTTTTGTCAAAGTTTTTTTACTTACTTTGAGGGATGATATACTTTTAGTCACTGATACCAGGTGACGAAACTTCCTCCTTTCTTCTTTGGCACCTGAAAACCCCATTCTTTTCGAAGGAAAATGCATACAGTCCCAGTCCCAGGCAAGGAGAATTTTATTTTATCGCATGTTGAACAGTCACTGAGAAATTTATGACTTTAACCCAAAAAACTACGACTGTTATCATTTACGATATAAAAAAAGAAACCGTGAGAAAGAAAAAGTGAGTTCTCTTCTCTTAATTTATCTCTTTGTAACAGGTTTGTTCAAAGCAGAGGCTGGAAGAGAAATCAAAATATTGTTTTCGACGAAAGATGCGAAAGGGGATCTTTTATATGACGCAGATAATCAAGTAAATGTCAGAATTCAAACCTTGTCAGGAAGCTTTGTAAAGAAGAATATTGAAGACGATCTGACTGGTAGTTACATTGTAAGCTTTATACCAGATAGTGTAGGTCCGCACAGCGTAATAATTACAGTGAATGGTCAACCGTTAACTGACAGTCCCTGGAGTGTAGAGGTGTATCCACATCAGTACAAATGCGTGTTTGATATTACATCGAATGAAGCACGCTGGCCCTCTATTGCAGTAAACAAGAAAACCAACGAGATTGCGGTCGCATGTAAGGATTTAGTGCAAATACTCAGTGCAGATCATTCATATGTAAGGGATTTTCGGTTGGGGAAAGAGTCAAGAATTGAAGACATGGACTTCACCACAAATGGCAGCTTTATTATGATTGTACGAAAATTGAACACCACCTTCATCACCTTCAACCCTCTCAGCCTGTTATTGTTTGACCAGGGCGGTCAGTTCATTAAACACATCGGCGAAGATTATCTGAAGAGTCCGCACTCGGTGTCTACTTCGCGTGATGGAAACATAGTCGTGTGTGATTGCACTGACAAGTCAGTTAAGGTTCTCTCCCCTGATGGTACGAAATTATTACAGTCAATAAAAGCTCCAGATTGTCAATCTCTCCCGTGGTATGCTGTTTATCATCAGCACATGTTCTTTGTGTCCTATCCCGCATCTTCTTGCGTTAAAAAGTTCAACGAAGACGGAGTGTTTCTTTATGATATTGGTAGTGAGGGATTTGGTGAAGGACAGTTGTTTGCACCTTATGGTCTTGCCATTGACAAGTTTGACAGCTTGATTATTCCAAATTATGGTAACCGAACACTTCAGGCGTTCACAATGGATGGTAAATTTCTTAACACGTTCACAATGGATGAAAAATTTCGTAACACAATGGATTGGAGATGGTCACCCGAACTTGGAATTATTTCAGGTTTATCAGTTGCTTCATCTAATACTGGAAACTTGTATGTTTCTGATTTCGGAGGTGTCCAGGTTTTCCAGTAGCTAGTGTGCCAGTCTTTATACAAATTGCTGGCCACTCCTCGTCTGAAAAAAAAAAATCCAGTAACCCTTTCCTCGTTCTAAATGGAAAAGAAACTTAAAGCCGCTCAAAAACGTTCTCATTGAGGATGTTTCGCATGTAACTTTACATTTTGTGGACAACTCTAAACACTGGCACGAGACAGCAGCTTTTGCTTTGAAGAAAGCAGTGACTATGAAAGGATAAAGACATCTGAGTTTCTTTTGTCCTTAAGCAAAACTTTTAAACAGTTTCTCTAATATTTCGTAAATTTCGCCATTTATCCGTTGTTGAATTGTTAAATTTACGAAGTTCGACGATCCTACAGGGAAGAATGGCATAACAAAATAGTTTATATTTCATATGTTTGTTGTTGTTCAAAATAGTTTATCTTAGCTTTGTTTTCTTGGTTAAAAATTGAGAATATGACCCGATTTGTTCTTGCATATTTCACGACTACGTGTTAAGATAGATAGATAGATAGATAGATAGATAGTTTATTATCAAAAACCTTGCAGCCACAGGCTGAATTACGTTTGATTTACAATAAAATATATACTACAAAAAATACATGGCTAAGAAGAACTAATTAAAAAGACAAAAATATATAATTAAGAGAAAAACAATATTACATCATTGCTTTATGGACATAGTGATGGATAAAACTATTTCGAGTACGAATGGTGTGGAGGCGCCGTGTAGTAAAAGAGTGCTGACTCCTTAAATTGACTTCGCACTCATTCTTGGGAGGTAGTAAGCTATAGAGCTTGTGCGAGGGATTAGACAGGATGGAATTAAAAAGCTTATCACATAAGAACTCGCGGCGGTTGTGTAAGGGAACTAGACCAGTCAAAAGAAGCGCCTCATTGTACGAACAATCTGGATAGATAATACGTAAAGCTCGCCTTTGACATCTCTCAAGATCTACTGAAAGGTATTGCGGGAGGCTATGATGATAAACAGGGCATGCATATTCAGTGACAGGCCTAATACAAGTCAAATAGAAGAGCAAAAGTTCCTCCGACTTGACCTGTGCACGCTTAAGCTGACGCAAAAAATACAGGCGCTTGTTTACTTTCTTTACAACTTCGGATACGTGATTATTCCACGTGAGATCGCAAGATATCTGCAAACCTAAGATCTTTGCTTGCTCTACACACTCTAAGTCCTGATCATTAACCTTAATTGGATCAAAGTTCTTTCTAGAGTGACTGAATGTTATGCGCAGTTCCTTGCACTTGGTTTCATTTAATTGGAACTTGTCAGCAGAAGCTTGCGTCGCGAGTTCGTCAACCGCTTGTTGGACTTTGCTGACCTCAGACTTCATGACTGTTTCAGAAATAGTGGAGTCATCGACATATTTCCACATGTCTGTACCCGGGATGATGAGGTCGTTTATCATAATAGTAAATAACCAGGGGCCAAGTTTTGTGCCCTGTGGGACCCCTGATGGGATGGCCCCCCACTCCGAGTAACAGTCCTGACTAAGTTTAACACGCTGTCGGCGACAGGACAGAAAGTCCACTATCCAGTCAATTATTCCGCTTGGAAGATCGTATGAAATGAGCTTCTGAACTAGGATCTGATGGTCAATGAGGTCAAACGCCTTGCGGAAGTCAAAGAGGATGGTTCTGACAGTTGCACCGTTCCCATCCGTAGCACTAAGCCATGAGTGGACCATGCTTATTAGTGCTTGTGTCGTACTGGAACCTGGCACAGTCCCAAACTGCCGTACATCCACTTTCGCCAACACAACAGGCTTGAGGAAACTCTCCACGACGAAATCTTCAGCAACCTTAGAAAGCACGGGAGTTAGGGATATTGGACGTAGATGTTTGTTTACATCGTGTATTGGATTCTGCTTTGGTACTGGAGTGATGTTAGCGTCCTTCCAAGACTGAGGCAACCGTGCTTCCTTAAACGAACAGTTAAGGATATCAGTCACAGGTAGNTGCAAGAGGAAGAGCAGGCCCTCATTAAACTTGGCTTAGCAAATTTTCAAGATGATCCAAGTTGTGACGACAGTGACAGGGACAGTGCAATGGGGGAAAGTGATTTCAGTGACAGTGACTTTTAACTAAAAAGAATCGAGCCTGAGTGCTTGGATGCCATAACGAAACTGTTCATCTGTATTTTCAATCTGTAGGAAAACTCTGACTGCAAAAATAATTATTTCAAAAGTTGATTCATGTTATAACAGGTCAATGAAGTACTGACAAGGGAAAGAGGTCAATTTTTATTTAGATGTAAATTGTAATATGTAACATGGGACTGGAAGGAAAGCATTGTAATATGTATGAGTAAACATAATTTTCAAGAAACTCTTGATAATGAGTCAGATTTAAGAAAAACTCTAGGTTATAATAAAGTGTACAACGACCTAAAAAATAACTTTTTGGTCCTGAAAATGCACCAGAATGCACCTCAGAGCATGCAGATTTTCAAAATTTTCTGGGGGAGGCCCCCCATACCCCCCCTGCAGGAGGGGGAAACCCCCTCCCGCACCCTCCCCACGGGCGGCTTTGCCGCCCGGCGCCGCTGTCGCGGCGCAGTGGTGCTCCGGCTATTTTAAAATTTCCTCCTGATACTTTTTTTCATTTTGAAAACCCTGTTTATAATCTCTTGTGAAGATCATATCGTTCTTGGAATCAGCCTGGAAAGCATAATTAATAAAGAACCCCTCAAAAAGTCATTTATTTAGCGTTTTCTACCCAAAACATATAGAATCAAATAAAGAGTTTTAAAAAAATCATTCACGGCAGTCATTAGAGAAGTAAAAGCAGCATATTTCATGATGCTGCAAATACCGTTCTCAAAGTAATCTCCTCTTTTCCCACATGGATTGCAGTCAAAAGGAAACAAGGCAATTGATTTTAGGAGGCGAGGGGTCTACAAACTTTTCATTCGTTTTTCAACATCCCATGTGCGTTGTTACGCCAATAAACCCAGAGAAAGAATTCAATGTTGATTTCAGAAATCCATCTTAAATCTAGTCCTCTGGTCTTCTACGTGTTTACTAGTATGCAAGAAGTTAGAATCCATGCATAAATTAATTAGCTGAGATTGCATTAATATCTCTTTTCTTTCCGATTAAAAAGGCTTCACCATATTATTATTCGAAATACTAGTAAGTTATTTCGATTTTGGAGACGGAAAAAAAAAGCCGTTGTGCACTAAAAGGATCGTATTTCTTTTTGCAGTGTTCGGCCTAAATCGTAGCAATATGTATTGCAGAGGCTTCAAAAATGCTTGTAGTTCTTTGATTCAGTCCTAGCGGTTCTAATATTAACTTGAACACATATTTTTTCGGCAGAAATTCTTAGAGAAACCTTCACACCTCCTGTTTTTTTGGATTGGTCCAGAAGAGAGAACGTCGACAGTTTCCTGAGATTGGTAAAATCTGGACACGAATCGAATGGCAGCAGCTATGGTTCAGAAAAAGAATTTGGGGGAAATACGGGGGTATCTTCAGAAAGTGAAGCTGAAAGTAAATTATCACTTGCATTAGTTATATTTTAGTTTATTATATAATACAGCAATTTATAAAAAAAAATTAAGATACTACGAACGCCCTGATTGGTTAAAAAAGTGGCTTTTATTGCGCTGAAAGTAATTGTAAATCCCGAGCCGGAGGCAAAGTGATCTGCAAATTTTTCGTGTATTCTCCAAACATCCCAAGTGCGTTATTACGCCGGTAAATCAATAGAAAGGGCGGTGTTATTCTTTGAATGTTAGTAATTATCTTGCCCTCATGCAACCAAGATGCCCATTTTAATTTTCAAATTTCTTCTCGGTTTATCCTCGGCTCAAAGTGGAATAGCCGAATGCCTTTGTCTAATTAATTTATTCACGAATACACTAAAGCATGCAGAAACACACACGATGCCTAATCTTCACAAAACGCTCAAGCCTTTTTATTTTTGCTGACCAATTTAGCACCTCTCCGTGTCTGGATGCTTGTTGAAAAAAACTCCGAAAGAACGGCGAACCTTCGCTCATAAAATTTAAAGTTAGTAATGAAAGATACACGCAGAGACGGACAATACTCAAAGAAGGCTCAGAAAAGCCGACATTTAAAGTGGCTTTTCATCTCTTATTTTTCTTTGGTTTTTCAGGTTTCTGTTTTTAATGGCTCTCGCGTTAGTGTCTTGGTGCGCCTGCGATCCCCTATGGTTTAGATAACACGTGCGCCGTAACACCAACTCTGAGAGACCGAACTTCGGAATAATGTTTCTATCGTTGATCCCAATTAAAAGATGATAGAAAGGGCCTGTCTGACCACTCTCGACTTGACCGTTTAATATGCTCTCACATGGTGCTTATTGTCATGATATAAGAATACATCAGCCATTGAAGATGGGTTCTATAATGGAAAGCAACGATTCTCCAGAGTAACAATAGACAAGAAAATCACGATATTAGATATACCACTTTAAAGGCTTAGAAGTCCAGCAAAAAATCTCTGATATGATAGCACTTGAAATGCTTGACGAAAATGTTAAATGGACCACTGATGAAGCGGACCGATCTGTTTCTTTGACCCTTCAGAAATGCCTCTTTTGAACATGTGACAATCAGTGGCAGTGATGACTTTACATGCCTAACTTATGCTGAAATGTTGCTAGTTGTTTTTCCATGTAGACTACGCTGATAAAGAACCTGTTCTCAATTTAGACCCTTCGGACGATTACCAAAGGGAGCTGGGTAACAAAGAAGAGTTTCTGAGAGGGCTGACAGGGTTCAACATAGAAAAGCACGACTTTGAACTGCCGACGTATTAATTTCAAGCTGAGGAAAGGCAAGGTAACCATTACAATCAACGTTCTGGAAATTCTGTCTCTTCAAAATCTTCCTGACCAAATTAGGGGTGGGCCTAAGTTCTTCATACACTTCATTCGATGGTTTAGCATTTAGTAAGGGCAATGAAGGAAATGACCACTCAAATTACAATCGTATAAAAGATTTTTTTTTCGATTTTTATTTCATCTGCTAATATTTTGACATTTAAGTTCAGTTCTAAAAGCAAGCTACCTCGTTATCTTTGAATCATATCGACTGTATATAAGTCGCTCGCGAATGACGGAACCAACATCAGTATATGAAACCATTTATTAACTTTCATAAAAACAAGAAAAAATATATATTTGACTTTAAAGTTCGAGGCATAAAACGTTTGGATCGCCGTTTGTTGCAGCAATTTGTTGCTCCGGTTTCCGTCCGTATATTTGCCGAGTTCTAGACATCGCGTCGCAGATGTTGTGGCCTCCTCAGCCCTATTTCGTTAAAATGAATGATTGTTGAAAGATAGTAGGACACTAAAGCAGACTTTTCCAGACCTACAAACACTAAATTCAAGAACGTTTGACGTTTTCATGCTAGTATACAAACTCGTAATAAAATTGTTCCGGTTTGGCCGTGACTGCGGAGATTTTAAAACCGAAACATTTATAAGTGAAAACGATTTTTCATGAGTTTGAATATCACTCATCATTCTTGTTTATGATTTTGTCAAAAGTTTTACTTACTCTGAGGGATAATATACTTTTAGTCACTGATACCGGCCAGGTGACAAAACTTCTCCTTTCTTTTTTGGCACCTGAAAACCCTATTCTTCTTGAGGGAGAATGCAAACAGTCCCAGGCTCTTCGGAGAATTTTATTTTATCGCATGTTGAACATTCACTGAGAAATTTGTGACTTTAAACAAAAGACTACAGCTGTCATCATTTAGGAAAAAAAAAGAAAGAAAAAGCGTGAAAGAAAAAAGTGACTTCTTTTCTCTTTCTTTATAACAGGTTTGCTCAAAGCAGAGGCTGGAAGAGACATCAAAATATTGTTTTCGACGAAAGATGCAAAAGGGAATCTTTCTTATGACGCAGATAATGAAGTAAATGTCAGAATTCAGGCCTCGTCAGGAAACTTCAAGTTTATAAAGAAGACGATTGAAGACGATCTGACTGTTGTGAGTTTTACTCCAGCTACTGTAGGTCCACACAGCGTAATAATTACAGTGAATGGTCTGCCATTAACTCGTAGTCCCTGGAGTGTAGAGGTGTCTCCACATCAGTACAAATGTGTGTTTGATATAACACTGAATGTAAGAGTTCATCCCTACATTGCAGTTAACAAGAAAACTAACGAGATTGCAGTCGCACATGATGATTTAGTGCTAATACTCAGTCCAGATCATTCATACGTAAGGCATTTTCGCTGGGAAAATAAGCCACAGATTAGAAGCATGGACTTCACCACACATGGCAGCTTCATCACAATTGTACAAGGGCTGTCCTCTCTGTCCTTGTTTGACCAAGGCGGTAAGTTTATTAAACACATCGGCCAAGAGTATGTGATGCAACCGTTCTCGGTGTCTGTTTCGCACGATGGAAACATAATCGTATGTGATTGGGTTGACGATTCAATCAAGGTCCCCTCCCCTTACGGTACGAAATTATTACAGTCCTTCAAAGTTCCAGACTGTCAGTCTCCCCCGATGTTTGCTGTTTATCATCAGGACATGTTCTTTGTGTCCTATTCCTTACCTTATTGCGTTAAAAAGTTCAACAGAGACGGAGTGTTTCTGTATGATATTGACGGTGAAGGATCTGGTGACGGACAGTTGAATATATCTTATGGTCTTGCCATTGACAAGTTTGGCAACCTGATTATTCGAGATTGTGGTGATCAAAGACTTAAGGTGTTCACAGTGGATGGTAAAGCTATTAGCACAATAGACAGGAGACAGGAAAAAGACAGACATTCGGGCTATTTTAGAATTTCTCGAAGTTCTTTAGTTGCTTCATCTAATACTGGAAACTTGTATGTTTCTGATTATGGACGTGTTCTCGTTTACCAGTAGCTAGTGTGCCAGTCTTAAGACACATTACCGGCCACTCCTCGTCTGAAAGAATATTCGATAACCCTTTTCTCGTTCTCAATGGAAAGGAAACTTAAAGCTACTCAAAAACTTCCTCATTGAGGATAGTTGGCATGTAACTTTACATTTTGTGGACGACTCTAAATACTTGCATGAGACAACAGCTGTTGCTTTGAAGAAAACGGTGACGATGAAAAGATAAAGACATCTGAGTTTCTTTTATCCTTAAACAAAACTTTTGAACACTGTTTCGCTAGAATTTTGTAAATTTTACCATTTATCCGTTGTTGAATTGTTAAATTTACGAAGTTCGACGATCCTTCATGGCAGAATGGTATGAAAAAATAATTTATCGTAACTTTGTTTTCTTGGTTTTAAAAATGAGAATGTGACCCCATTTGTTCCTGCATTTTTCACGACTACGTGTAAAGATCATAAAGGCCGCAAAAGTAACGGTCAAAGGTGAAATAGAAGACGAGCTGATTCTTATTCCAGCGTAAGCTAATGAAGACTCAGTTCAAGACTAAGAGTTTCAGAGTGGTATATTACCGTGTGAACAGCCGAAAATCACAGTGAGGAGATTCGAGCATTACTACATAGTGCTTTTACTCTATTTCAACAAACTGAGATCCATTCACAAACTTGTGTTATCTTGAGAATCGTAATTCAGTTCTGAGCAGTATTGTCAAACGACAAAATTGAAATCTAGCAACAAGTTATTAAGTGTGATTTTAAACTTATTTAAATGTTAAGAAAAGGAATAAAGACATTTTATAACTATAACCTAAGAAAATATGTCTCAAATTTTGATTTGACACCTTCCACATCTCTCAAGGGTAAACAATCTAGATCTGTACTTTTTATCTTCGGCACTGAATTTTAAATGAGATAGCTTGTAGCTTTTCTAGGGGGGGTACGTGACTTAACGTGATTTGCTGTTTGAGATATAGAAACGATGATGATGCAAGAAGATTGACAGCCTCGTGGTGTCACCTTTAGTGTCGCCTTTATAAGCTGGTGAACAGCATTTTTAATCAGAATAGATTTGAACTGAATTGAGTAGAGTTGAGAATTGAGCCCCCATAGCAGTAAGTTATATTTAGTGATCAAACTCCAAGAAATAAAGAAGTTTCCACTGAGTGTTAGAAATAGTCTCTAACAGTATAAACAGCCTTCTGACTTCTGTCTTTTTTCCTTTTTTTTTTTTTTATTCAGTTTACCATTCGCTGGCGTGACTAAGATACGACAGATGGCGCCTATTAGCAGGTCGCGCTTAAAAACCATTAGAGTCCTGCATTGGCTACTCGATGTACTTCAATAATAATAATAATAATAATAATAATAATAATAATAATAGGTCTTTATTGTTTTTAAGCAAAAATACATGCTAAAACAAGAAAATTTACATAAAAATTAATTACAAGGCTATCCATAATAATTACAAGGCTATCAACATTACATAATATAAGACATTACATTAGATAGCTACTGTATGATTTAAAAAAGAGCCTATTAAAAAAACTATTTTTAAAACGCTGGGTATTAACCCCAGGGAGTTGACTACTAGGAACTCGGAGGCGCGCTGAGCTTTCTTTCGTTTTAGGGACAGAAGGGTACAGAGGGTGACCAGGCATACTGGAGATCTTCTTCAATGGTGAGCGATCAACCTCTTCTAATACACTATATATATATCAATTTGGTACGAAATATATTTGCGTTTAAAGTAGCGCTGTAGAAAATTCTGGACCGCTGTTAATTCAGGTATTGAGGTGGTGTATATGGATAGACCATACGTTAGTTTAGGTAAAACAATTGATCTAAAAACGTAATCTACATCTGATTTCCATGCAGAAATATTTTAATAGGTGCGATCGAAGCATCGTGAAACTTAAAGGAAAACTTTTTCTCAGAAGAGAGAGCATTCTACAGTTCAAATCAGCAAATTATGTAGATCCGAAGACATAATATTTTCAGTTTTTGCCGCGACACTACAAAAGACGATAAACATCTCAAATAAGTTCCACGTTGCATCCACCGAGGCACAATTGAAATCAAAACTTTTCCTAGCAAAAATATCTCAATAAATGTGATCTGCACATTATGGATGCTTTGAAGAATGTTTTTGAATACCTTATGGTCTAAAGGGAATTAATTAAGGGAGATTCCGAAGCTCCTACAATCACTCCCATAACCACTCTTGTTGGGTTTTTTTTTAACCATTTTTCCTTGTAACTCCGACTTACTTGCACTGATTACTAGTTCTGGCTAACGACTAACTACACTGAAAAAGCTTTTGTTGATAGCAAACTTTGCAGTGCTTGCTAAGAAGTGCTAGAGGTGTGACAGTGATCTCGTCTATTACAACAGAGGAGGCCGTTTCCTCGGATGCAAGGTTGTTATGGCATGTCCACGGACTCGGTGTGATCATGTTACAGCAAATGGCGGTTGTATAGGTATTTCACGCCCGCATCGGTATGTCCTCCCTCGAATATTACCTTTTAATAGAGCGCGAAATCGGTCTTGGAATCGGCTGGGCGACTGAAGGCGCAGCCTAGGTATCTGTTTACAAAAAAGGTAAACTGATGGACACTAGTAGGTCAAACAACATTGAAAATGCCCGGCTTACTCGTTCGCCACGAACTAATCTTCAAATTAGTTGCGGACCTTTAAGGCAGTCTCAAAAAACTAATCATTGAATCCCTATGGTCTAAAGAGAAGAAGTTAAGAAAGGTTCCTTGGTTCCTACAGTAGTTCGCTTATATAACCACTATAATAACAATTGTTTGGTACTGAGCAAGCGTTGCAATGCTTGCTAAGAGGTAATAGAGGTGTGACAGTGATATCGTGTGTTACACCAGTAAGGTCGTTTCCACGGATACAAGATTACTATGGCACAACTATGTAATCGGTGTGATCGAGTTGCAGCAAATGGCAGGTGTATAAGTAATTCACGTCCGCGTTGGCATATCTTCCTTCGAATACTACCTTTCGCTAGAGCGCGAAACCACTCCCGGAATCGACTGGGCGACTGAAGGCGCAGCATTGGTATCCGCTGGTAAAAAAGGTAAACTGATAGACACTAGTAGCGCAGACAACATTGAAGATACCCCTTCCTTGTTCGCCAAGCTGGAAGAACAGAATAACCTTGGAATCGACAATTTCAATACACCGAAGGAAATTCTAAGAGGCATAGCGAAATGGAATCTGGTCGATGTAGTAAAAAACGTTGTGATCAAAAGAGAAACATAAAACAGTCAACTTCAGTTGTTAGAAAAGATCATCCCCAAACTCGAAGAGTTAATTGATCTAAATCGACTAGTTTAGAGATGTGGGCCTCATTTGAGGGAGGATATACTAAACGGAATCGAAAGCGTTGGCGGCTTGTTTAAGGAACTTAACATGTACAGCAACAACCGATTGGAACCTAGTCGCCTGAAGCTTTTGAAATAGATCTGAAACAGGGCAAGAATTCCTTTTGAGAGAAGTCGAAGATTTTAAACAGAGTAGGAAAGAGGAAGACTAGAAAGAGAGGCAAAAAAGGAGTCTGCAGGAAGACCACGAGGTAAGCATCTTTCACGGTTGTGTGCTAGACCAAAAGGAAGAGGTTAAGTCACTGGAGTTTCAAAAGGGTTCTTCGTTTTGACTCTAACTCGGTAATTCATAGAGGATAACAAATTACTAGCGAGGACTGAATAAGCGCCTATCAGATTTTAAGACGCTTGATGTTTGCAGTCATTTATCCCAAGATGTTGCTATGATTCAGCAAAATTTTGATTTTAATTTGGAATTAAGAAACCGTACTCATCATATTTGAAACTAAAACATTAATTCCGCTCTTTAAAACTCTATTCTGATTCGATGAAAAAACAAATCTCATCCACTAGATGAGTTTCATTTGACACATTGCTTTAATGGGCTGAACATTGGTTGAATATTTTATTTAACTTCTCTGCATCCAAATGCCAGCGGGATTGAGGGGCCAAATGCCAGGGGGTGAGAGGGGTTTTTGCGTGACATAGAAGTGTTTTCAATTTTCGTGACCAGTGAAAAAACGTAATTTCAACTCCGTGAACTGCGATTTTTTTTCCTGTTCGCTATACGTGAACCTCAAAGTTTCGTGATGCGCATTTTAAGTTTTTGATGCAGGACCATCCCACCCCTCCCTCCGCCTTACTCCTCTCTCCTCTTATCTCTCCTTTTTAGTTCTATTTTTTCCAAAACCTCGCTCGGTAGACTAAGCTACTTGTCTTCCCTTCTCAAATTTATTTTTGGTCGTGGATTACTTGGTTTTTACCAATTCAGTAATACTGCCCCACTAATGATATTGTTGTCCCGGCTATGCCATTATCATAATCTTGAATTAGCTTACTTCGTGTATCTGCGAATTTCATCTCGAGCGGCAGCTGTGCATGCATTACCTGGGTGGGGTTGGGGGGAGGGGGGAAGGTGGGAAGAATACCTGACGTAAGTGACGATCGATTAGAGAAAAAACAAAGCTAATAGAATAACAGTCTATGCGAAAAATGAAGTATACTTCAGCTGGTTATATGACAACAGTGAACAAGTGAGAAGTTGGGGACTAAACTTATTAACATGAAGTAGGTAGGAAACAAGAATTTTCTCTAGCAGAGCATTTAATAGTAGCAGAGAAAAGGTTTTAATTCTTCATTAATTGTCCAAACAGAAAGACAAGAGAGAATCGAACTGGTGTTACGCGCGATTAGCGAGCACTCTGATTGTTTGCGATAATTGGTTCAGTGAAATGCTAATAATAATATGCTAGTTTTTATAGTTATCTACTCCTGTAAATGTAATCTTTGAATAATACCTTTGATAATAGGCAGCTGGCCTAAGAGAATAATCAATGAAAAAATCAAGTCTCAAAAAAGTTCTTTTCATGGTTACAGTGATTAACGAAGTTAGCTTGTTGGAGTGAGACGGCATCCGTCATACTGCTCCTTTTTACAGGATTACGAAAGGGT